CAAACCCCCCCGGGTCCTTCCCTGCCAGGTAGTTCCCAGCCCCTGGTCCCAAGCCTGGAGCATTGCCAGGGGTTGTTGTCGCCCAAGGGGAGGACCCAGCACTTGGTCTTGTTCAATAGTTTCGTGGGCATCCCTGGGGGCACCAGGCTGTCTCCCAGGGAGCAGCTCTGGGCCATCAAACACCCACCCACCAGCAGCATCACGGCACTGCCCACCATGCGCTTCCCACCCCAAATTCCACCCTGTGGCCGGACACCACACAGCCCACGGTCCATCCCCTCCCTGCTGCTGGTTCAGTTTTCTGGTCAGAGGGTTTTCTTTCTTGCCAGCCTACATGGCAAGAAGGACCTCCAGCCCCACTCCAGAACTCCAAGTGAGAGCAATCAGCATCACTGCTGGATGCTGGGTGGGAGCCAAACACTGGAGTTGAAGACTAAAAAACCTGCAGAGGCAACACAGGGGCTGAGGATCAGCACTGCTCCCTTTATCTTTGTACCGTGTGCCTCCAACTTACAGAGCTAAAGACACAAATCCCGGGATGAGCTGTCAGCTCATCACAACATGAAGAAAGGGACCGTACCTTGCACGCCGCAGGTTTCCTGTGGAGCTGGCGGCTTCCTGCCTTGTTCTGTCCCATGCTCGGGTACCTGGCGCTTGTATATCCTGTGGGGTTGTGCCGCTCCATCCTCCCGAAAGCTGGCCGACACTGGTTCAATGAAGTAGTCCTCGTCCATGAGCTGAAACACGCCTTTCTGGCAGGGAGAGACAAAGTGGTCACTGTGAAGCCATCCGCACCTAGCACAGACTCACGCTGACGAACCTGGGAAGGGGAGAGGGTTTGCAGAGATTTCCAGGGACAAGCAGGTCTTCTCTAAAGAGGCTGGTTTTATGGATATTTTGAGCTCTAAACTCCCAGACAAAAGACAAGCCAGCATGGAGCGATCATTAAGAACACAAAAAGCTAGAGATCCTAACACAAAGTGCAGCTGGGAGGCAAACCCAGTGGGTGTCCGACACTGAGGAGCTCAGGGACCGCGGGGATGCCGAGACAGAGAAATTCCTTCTCCAGAGAACCAGAGCACACCAGGAATAGGAGCACGAATGCTCTCGGGTTGTGCTCCCTCCTCTGTGTTTCTCCATAATTTGGTTAATTATGACAGCCCTGAGCTGCCCCAGCTGGAACCCATCCTATGGACTTCCCATCCCACGAACTCGCAGCTGCCTTTGCGGCAACGGGAAGCTCTTTGGATGGGAGGCTTCCTCCCAAGGAACGGGAGCTGCTGCAGCAGTCTGCAGCATCATTCGGCGTGCTCTGTAAACGTACGTTGTGCCCCAGACAACTCCGTCTGCTCTTGGTTGCATCGGAGCAGCCTCACGGTGTCTGGAGCAGGCTGAGGTGTCCTATGCTCACTCGGGGGCCTGTTCATACTCAGCTCTGCTTACCTCGCTTTTGCTCTGACATGTTTATTACTTTCACACCCCAGGACACAGCAGGGACAAAGAGACAAGACGAAAACATGCCTCTACAACTGTTTCCAACGCTTCCAAGACACAAGAGGACTGAGCCTACTAGTGATGCTTTCTCACCACTCATGCGGTGCCGGGGAAAACAGCTTCCTCCCTAATTACCTCCTTGCAAATGTAAAATAACAAGGAGGAAACACCATGGGGATGGTGAAGGAAGGAAAGGAGGCCACAGATATGATTCCTTCTCTGTTTCCTGATGCAGGTTATTCTGAGCCAGGTAGGGCACAGAGCTCGCTGCCCCGGCTGAAATCTGCCCAGGGTGCCTGGCACAAGGACACGTTTTGTCAGCGGTTCGTTCTGCAGCAGCACGGCGTGGCATTTGCTGCCCATGGGAAGGTATCTCTGTTTAACACACATCTGGTTAACCTTTCTGCACCTTGTGTGTCCCAGTTCACCCCAGTAAGCAGTGCCAGCACCCCTAACCCCTGTCTCTGGCTCCATCACCATGGTCTGCAACAAGAGTGAGAAATGGCCTTGGAGAAGATGAAATTGCACTGGCCAAACTACCCAAGCAAGAGCAGAACCCAGCTCTTATGACTCTATTTTATCTTAAAATCATTGACAGGAGTCACACCCAAGACCAGATTTCTAAGTCTGATGGCAGATTCTGGCTCACCAGCAGGACGTGGCCATTCCCAGAACCATCATATATTATGGGGGGGGGTCCATGTGTAAGCACCTCCCAGGGGCATCGGTCTGGTTTTTGTCATGGGGATGTAGAGGGTGTTTTTCCCAGGTATTTTCTCCCCGTTACACCCACTGCCTCTGGGAACCACTGCTTGGGAACGGGCGTCTGAGCATTATGGGAGCTACCACGGGATATGATAAGACTTCTGCAAACCCCCAAAAGGTGTTAGACCCGGTGGGAACCTGGTACACGCACCAGCTGGATGCCAGCTAACAGAGAGAAGGACGTTTGTGCTGAAGCAACGAACTGGCTTTGCCAAGCGCCGACTCAAGGGTCTTATTTGTGAAAGCGGCTTTGGCTTTCAGCAAAATTCATATTCTTGCAGGTCACTATCACCTTCAAAACTATTTGCAGGGGAATAAAGCAGGGGAGGTGGTCTCAAAACACTCTAAGTGAGCCGCGTTATCATAAATCCCTCCAGGTTTCAAACACCTTGTCTCCAGATGTGCTTCTCATAACCCTATGTTTATGCACTAGAAGGCAGAGGTGACATGAGAATTGCTCTCTTTGGGAATTTGGACACAAACAATTAAACCGTCCCAGAGAGTTCCCAAACCACTGGAATCCATGGGAAATTTACAGTCAGCTCATCCACAGCCGCATCAAACCTACGCGATGAGACCCTGACTCTGCCGCTGTCGGGAGGAGTTTCGCTATTGCCTTCAGCAAGGGAAAAAAAGAGATTTCACACAGCTTCTCCTACTTTCCATATTGACTAAGAATCCCTGTACTCACCAGGCCATCACACGTGCTGAGTGCGGCCAGACCTGCCGCCGGCGCCTGGCTCCGAACCTCCCCGATCATATGGCAGGAGTTGGACGCACGAGACTGGATCTTGGCGTTGGCGATCCCACCGAATCGCCTCTCGCTGACGAACCCGGGCGCCAGGAGGTTGTTGTTCAGGCTGAGGTTGAATTTCAGGAGTTCTTCTTTGTAGTGCAGCTCATAGAAGGCGAGAAACTTGCTCCTGGGGGAAGGAGACCTTCGGTGCAGCGCACGGTGGGACAGATCGTAGGAGAGGAACGATCCGCTCTCGTCAACCTTGATGGGATACACAATGTCGCTGCTGGAGGATGCCAGAGCGGGCTCTGGGGAGAAAGGGATGCGGTGGTTAGCTTCAGGGTCCATCACCCTTCCAACCCCCCAGCTGGGTGCTGAGCTCCCAAGGCTCCCGGTGGGGTCAGGCACCCAAACACCAGGTGGATCTGGGTCCTGGTGTCCACTGTGCAGTAGGGAGCAGGGAAGGGCAGGAACCCCACAGCTGTGGGGCACATGGGGCCCCGCGCTGCCCCTCCTGCCCTCGGGGCGTCCGGGGCTGGGATTTTCCCCGGGGGAGGGCTGAGGTCAGGCTTTGGAGTGGGGTGGGAGGGATGGAGAAGGGTAAAGGGGGGGCTCTGCAGCTCCGGGGCTCTGC